TACATGAGAGGGTATCGAGTGGTAAAACGACTTTTGATGTTCGCTTGTATAAAAATCCAAGTTTCTCACCCAACGCCATAGAGATGTTGTTGCCTGAATAGGAAAATCAGAATCTCCGGCGAGAATACGGACAAGAATTTTTTTGATGATAGGATAGATTCGTTCGGCCAAAAGAGAATGAATATGAAATCTAAAATAAATGCTCATATTCATATTACTCTTCTGTTAAACTAAACTCACCGAATAGTCTCTTGTTGTTGTTCGGTTAGAAGAGTTGATGAACGGTCAGATTTTGATAATTTGTTCGGAAAACTAGAAACAGGAACACTAATTGCCATGGTGTTCGTGCTAATTGCAGACGAAGATGATGATTATGATAATGATGATCTCGATCGTAAATTTCGAAATCGACCAAGCACCTGAAGTTTTTGATTCTCTAACACTTGTTTTTCTTCCTCCATTTTTCTCTTTCTTTCTAGCATACCATGTTCGATTTCTTTCATCTCATTTTTTAATCTTTCAACAGATCTCATAGAGATATCAAGCATAGATGATAGTTGTTTATTAACCTTGAAGAGTGGGATTACTGATCAAAACTTCTCTTTTTCGACAAATTTGATGGCATGAAAAAATATTTGTTTCATGTCTTGAGAAACGTCATGGCTTTTAGGCATCTTTATAGTGAGCGTCGACAGTACAAATAACTATTCACAGCTCCAAATACGTTATGGTACAATCAGTAAGAGAAATACCCGAAACAGAGAGGGACTGCCGAGACTTATTCTTTTGGGATTCATTTTTCTGCAGAACTTAATTATCTATTAAGGATTTATTTGGGTTTATTAATTATGATGCTATATTTTAAGGTCACCCACAATATCATCTATATCCTCACCGACAACCATATTTGTACTCTCACTCACAATCACCTAAACACATCATGTCTAAACGTTGACATTCTATGGATTTTTTTCTCAAAATGCTGAAGGGATTTATTAAAAGTCCTAACAAATTCTAATCAAATAAGTTCCGGTAGCTGCTGAGAGTTCGCTGAGTGAAATACACATGACAGTATGATGATTAGTAACGAACGCAATTTTCTATTTAATTTTAATAAACAAACACATCATCCAGGTTCTACGATTGGTCGTAGATGGTATTCAAGCGTTTCCATCGTTTCTATTTCTTTCTCAGTACTAAACATATTATTTCTGAGACTTTTCAATCGACTTACAAGAGTCTATTTTGTTCACGTAGGAAAAATTAGCAGCGAATTCGAGTTTTTCTTACTGACATTCGTTCCTACATCTGCGCTAGCTTTCTAATTAGTTGTGCTGAATACAGAATTTCATTCTAAATCGAATGATGATATTTTCAAAGGAGAGTACCAGATAAAAGTTGAAGTTATAAACCAAAAAGTAATAAATCTGAGTCATTCTGCTAGTGATCCTTCATCAGATTCCCAGAATTAGAAAGCTAGAACATGTATGAATGCGAATGTCAACAGAGATTAGTAGCGGAACGCCTCAGAAAATGTGGTGTTTTGGCCATAAGTCCTATTTTCTATTTCTTGACTTTCTTTCAAAAATATCACTATTCGATGCAGAATGAAATTATGTACTCAGCAGAACTAATTAGAAAGCTAACACAGATGTAGAAACGAATGTTAGCAAGGAAAACTTAAATCCACTGCTAACTTTCCTTACGTGAATTCTTATTGTATTCTCAGAGATTCGAAATCTTGGAAACCAGTCAACTCGCCTTGACAGACACCTACAATCAATTAACTACTGATTGTCAATTCGAACAACAATTATGTCTTACGGAGGAACACCATCGTACATAAATTTTTATATAAAATGCTGAAAGAAAGTTTTGCGAATTTAAGAGATCGACTTTTTATTTTTATTTTGTTTTGTTATTGGTGATTTTTATCAAAATTTGAAAGAACATCATTTTAACGGATGTATTGTGGCCATGTCATGTCAGATGATGAATGGAACAATTTTCAACAATTGATTAATGAATTCAGATCGATTAACTCTGTATTTTTTACTAATATTCATTGTTGAAAAGTATTATTCTTTTTTTAAACAGCTCGTTGGCTTCGGATGATTAAATCGAATTTTATTTATTTTTGAAGTTGACATTCATGTTGCGAATAAATGCAGCATTTTTTGCTGAAAACCTATCGGTCAGTTGTTTTGCATATGAATCTCAAGTGTTGTTTACCATTATTTTGATTTTTTATCTAAAAACTCAATTTGATTCTTGAAAAAAGCCATATAAAAATAATAATAACGAAGTTGATCTTTGCTAGTATTGTATAAGATGTGTAAATTTAATCCGGCTGAAAACATGAATCTTCATTTATGTTGAAAGAATTTTATCAAATGATTTTTTTGCTTTCGAGTTTTTATTATTCATTTAGTTGACGACTCAATTTCAAAGATAAGACTGCGGATGTGCCTATGCGACTGAGAGGGATCCACAAAAAGTTTAATTTTTTCCGTTTTACTTTTCTGCTTTTTAAGCCATTATGATCTCATATTTTTCACTTGTTGTCCTTTTAGTCCTGCCACAGAACGAAAACAGTTACTGATGGTAAAATAAAAATGCATTTTCTTTAATAGAAGTTTTCAAACTGAATGATTTTATTCTGGATTAACAGAATAGCATTGACAATTTCACTAGTCATTTGCATCCCGGTTACGATCGGGACCAAAAAATTAAAAAGTTTTTCACAAGTCTTCTTTTCAAAATATCGTGCAAAATTTAAAGATAGAATAATTTCCAGTAGAGAAAAAAGCTGCGTATTGGTCGTAACCAACGTTGGTCACAAACAATTTCGATCACGATCTAAATAAAAAGGTTCAACATGAGTTATTCTTCTAGTTTTGTTATGGAAAATATTTGAAAAAAATTTTCTTCTTCTTTTATGGTCACGAACGTTATCGTAATGCAGATCTCTAATAATGACCTCCTAGTTTTGAAAACTGTTCACGTCTAGCACTCTTTTTTTCTAGGACTCAACTACTCTGCACGCCCTCTGTCTATCTCCACTGCTGATTTACAGTTTTGTACTCAATGTTAATATTTACATGAACAATACATATCTCTTGTGAACGTGTAGGAGAAACTACATTTAATTTATAACAGTCTCACTTAATGAAAAGTCTTTTATTTTATACGCACTCTTATTTCATGTAAGAATGATCTAGCGTCATCTATCAACGAAAAGAGCAAATATGTCAATGGTGTCTTTGAATATTCAATCGAAGCTAGGCTTTTCAGTCGGCCATTCATTCGTTATTATTATCAAATAGTGTTTAAACTTAGTCATTTATTTATTTGGATTTAAAATAAATGAATTGAATATAAATTAAACAAAATGGATAAACTAAGTAAATCACTCGAAGTTTTAAAATTACTTTCAACAACAACATCAGAAACATTAGTATCAAATAATGAAAAGTATAAATTGACTTTCTTTCTTTCTTTTTCTTTCTTTTAAGTAATGTTTTATCTATCGTTTTCTGTTTTTTTTTACTTCTCATAGATCTCGATTAGATCCAATATCAATAAGTAAAGAAAAAATTCATCATTTAAATAATATAACTGATTTACTATGCTCACCATCATTGATTAAGTAAATAATTCAATTTTTTCTTTCTACTTTTCATTTTATTTTTATCTCTTATCGAATTTTTTTTCTCATCTAGAGGTAACAATGATAATTATTTTAAATTACTTACAGCTAGTGTGGAAACATTATTCACAACATGTGATGAAAATGATTATGATGTACGATTAGCTGCTGAAGAAAATCTTAATAAACTTGTTAAAGTATAAAAAAGAAATCTTTTAGTTTTTTTGTATAATTTTCTATTTTTTTTTTTTTTGAAATCATAAAATAGAATTTAAAAGAAGCAAATTTAACAAGAATTCAAGTTGAATTACATCGAATTATAAAACGTAATCCAAATATTGGACCAAGAGCTTTAAAAGGTTATATTTTATTATTTGACTTGAATTTATAATAATTTTTTTTTTTATTATTCGATCAGGTTCTCTATGGCGATTTGCTGAATTAGCAAATGTAATACATCCAAAAAAGATTCGACCATTTTTTGAACATTTATCAGCAGCATTTTGTTCGACTGCTGCTCGTTCTGAAGATATTGTTCATGAAAAATTATCAGAATATTATGAACTTATTTTTCGTATTCTTGGTCGATCGATTAATGATAAAGAAATCAAAGTAAGTTTGAAAAACTACAGTCATCTAAAACAATTTCAACGAAGTAGTGAGAGGAATATCGTCTGTTTTAATGATGGTAAAGTTTCAGATTAAGAATTCAACATTTCAGTTAACACTTTACAAAGGAGCGAACATTTTGCAAATTGTTATGAGCAGATACTTCGCTACTATTTTTCAATAGGAATCGGGAAAGATTGTCCATTTAGTATTGATAAAAAAATCAGCCCATTCAGTGAAATTACAGTGGAGATATTTAATTTATATTTCGGCTTACTGGTTTTTGAACAAGTGGGACAAAGTGAAAATTTCTTACTTCAATGTACTTAACATAATGAAAAATTTAGAGTTTATTGCCAGACAGACTTATATTAATTGAACTCAAACTAATACGTTCGTGACATACTGTTGGAATACGTCGAAGTAGAGAATTTTCGCCTAGGCATGTACCGAGCTTTTTTTTTTGCGTTATTTTCGAGCATTCTATACCAACAGTTTGAGCGGTGAAATAAAATGTTGAATCATAGAACCTAGGCTATCAAATGAGACGTCTCGTTTTGTCGAGCAACACTTTGTCTATATTTTGATTCGTTCGATCACATAACTCAAGCTGTTAATATAAAAGTGTTCGAGAGTAACGAAAGAAAGTTTGTTATGTGTATATTTTTGGCCTCTCTCTATCTATAATAATATTAGCACTTATTTTCATATCGGAAGTTACAAAAATTGAGAGTACTTCCTGCTCAGAGAAATCAAGACAGTGTAAGTACTCTCATCAATTATGATTATTACTATAATCGTGTAAAACAGATTGATATATATTCGATCATTCTAAACGATACGCTTGACTGTAATGTTCGCATAAACAAAATTATTGTAATACAGCTTTTCATTGAAACAATTAATAGTCATCTATTACATTGATTGTTTGCTACTTCGTTAAACAATAGACTTAAAGAAAAATGACATAACGAAAAAAAAGGTATTCATTGTAGATCTGGAATTTTAAGATAAGTGTTGTAGTTTACTAGAATTTCATACAATTTATGAATAATAAGATTTTATTTATCAGAAAGTTTCGATACAAAATTGAATAACATGGTCTAGTGGTCTTAATCATTAGCGGCTATTCTTATTTTCATAGTTAACATATGAAGTCAAGTGAGAATGAAGTCGACGTTTTTTTTTTTCCTAATATTAATAATAGATAATTTTCTTGTGAAATATAATCAGTTAATAAATTATTCCTAGGAACTTCTCATGGCATATTTGGCAAATATGTCACACGAATCTGCACTTATTCGTCGTTCATCAGCTGCTTGTCTTATTATTATAAGTCGTTATTCTCGTTATCCTATGGTTATAGCACGTTTTCTAATGACAAATGCCATTGGTAAGTTTTATTTTTAAGAATAATTTCAATTAATTATAATTATTTTTTGTCTCTTTTTGTAATAGATCAATTACTTGAACATCATAGTCAAAATGATAGTACACGTTTAATAATTGGTTATCTTGGTTTAATAAAAAATCTTATTCAATTACTTGGTTTAAATATTGAAGAATTTCAATCATCATCAATAAATATTCAACAATCAATAAATACAAGTAAAAATATTGATTCTAATGAACAACATCTTCCAATTAATATTCGACAAATAATCGAAGTATAAAAAGAACAAATAAATAATTTTATTTTCAATGCGAATTTTGTTTTTAGTGTGTTGATATAGTTTGTTATATTTGTTTACAACATAATGATCATAATGTTGTATCAAGCTCATTGGAAACACTTGAAATTATACTTAAATATTCAAATTTATTTGATTTTGATCAATTATTAATTTCAACTCAAATTGGATCTATAGAAGAAACTCGTGTTAGTCAAGCATTGAAAACAGGTAAATATCGAAAACCAAAAATAAAAAAGAAAAATTTTTTTTTTCTTCTATTTGTATTTATCTAAAATAGCTTATCCAACATATCAACGTTCATTTATTGAAATTAATGAACAACAAGATATTTTAGTAAATAAAATGAATGACGAATTAGATTCAACATCAATAATTAATAATGAAAAACGAACATCAGCTGCTAAACTTGTTGAACAACTTATTTCAAAGTATATCTGAAAAAGAAAATTTATTCAAATTAAAAAAAAAAAAAAAACTTTTTTCGATTAGATATATCCTTAATATGGATGGTACAATAAAAAGTGATGATGAATCACGTGTTAGTATTAAATGTGCTACACTAACATGTCTTTCACATTTATCAACAATTGATCCATTTGCATTTTTTGATTCATTTGATTATCCAACTGAAAGTATGTTCAATTCTTGTTTCAGTTTTTTTTTCTAAGTTTCAATTCAGTAAAATAGATTTATTTTATAATCCGAAATTATTTCCAATGTTGAAACAATGCATAGGAATGAACGGTAGCTATGCTTTTGGTTGAAAGCATTTCCCTGGCTATGGAGGACGTCTTTAAATTAGTGGTGTAACCAAGATTTTAACAGTAGGAGAGCTCAGGTGGATGGGATATATTTGGTGGAGGGGCTTGTGGCAGAGTTTAGCGGACATGGCTTCGATCGGTTAAGGTCTCAAAGCTTCAGTGAATAGCTCACGAGTAAACCTTCTTAGATGTTTGGTTCGGTTCTCAGTTCTAATTTCTTTCAAAACATCTAACTGCATTCATCAGCCTCCTCTTCCATTTGGTTACGCCACTACTTCAAACGTGTGGCTACGGACAAAATGAATTGATGGGTCAGCAATAGTGTAGAGCGTCATGAGAAACTTTTGACAAAAAATGTGATGTGAATGAAAGATTAGAACTTTACCAGACTCGACCAAAAAAAATCTGTCGTATATATCCAGTAGAACATTTTCCTCAATAGGCTCGCATACGAGAGTTTTAAGATCGATAAGTTTCAATTGTGTATCTATGCTTCTGAGATTGAAATAATCACACAATCGGAACTGTTTGAACAGTTTCCAAATCCTAACACTAAACCAAAGTTTCAATTCTGTGCATATCCGGCACATAACAAGTGCTTTCTTTTCGTTATGATATGAAATCAGCTGTATTCTCTAAGGAATTTTTCTTTAGTCTTTGAAGATTTCTGATTAAATATAATTTTATAGTTGCTACTGAATTCCCTAATCAGCATAATACAATCCCTTATCAATGTGACTTCTAATACCGTAAAATCTATCGTTATTAGATACATATCGACCGAACATTGATATGTCTTTTTTTTTCTTTAAGTTATTACGTATCTTTTATCTTTACGTGAACATGGTGATCCACATTTACGTGGTGCATGTGCAAATTTACTTGCTAAATTAATTCAAACAACAGTTCATCTTTTAACAATATCACCACCAATATCATCATTATCAAATTCATTTAATAATTCTTTTATTAATCAATGCTCACTTTTATCAACTGATTCACAAGAAAGTTCAAGATTAGGTTAGATGATTAATTTTTTTTTATAATAATCAATATTTTGTTCTTCTTTCAAAGATATTCAATTAGGTATATTAGCTGAATTACTTTCTACATTTCGATTATGTCTTAATGATACTAATGCACGTGTTATACATGTTTCTTTAAATGCTTTACGAACATTATTACCGGTTTTATTAATTAATAGTCATGCATTAACAATTATAGCTATTGAATTATTAGAAGATTCTATTCAACATAGCACAAGTTCTTATGCTCTTGCTAAAGTAGAAAAGAAAAAAAAAATTATAATTATAATAAATTATTCTTTTTTTTTGTATAAAATAGGTTGCTCTAGCTCAACTTATTGGTGAAATTGATTTTCGAATATTAACTTATCTTGAACAACAACAACAAATAAAAAAAACGGTAGATTTATAAATCGAAATAATTATTTAGAAGCAAAAAAAAACACTTTTTGTTTTGTTTCATTTTCATGTAGAATCGATCATGGCTTGATCGTTGTATTGATATTGTTTTTCAATTTCTTACTGATGAAGATACACGTGTTCGTCAAGTAGCAGCTTCGACTTTTGCCAAGTATGTACATAGTAGAGATATTAACTGAGTATTTTGTTTTCGAATGATCCGATTGAAAGTCTAATAAATTCAAAAAACAAAACAAAGGAAAATATGTTTGAGTTATTGCAGATTATTTTTCGTTTATCGAACTCTGTTCATTTCATAGGAAGAATGAACTAAAAAATTTGTCTCTTCTTAACTGTTCAAATAAATCTTAATTCATTTGTTAGGACATCATTGTAAAAGAGTTAGATTTTCTAGTAATTTCTATTTTGATGAGAGAAAATTCCAAATATGACTTGCTAATTGAACTCATAAGCAGATCCTGTCGAGACTAATAGAAATCAATTAGGATTCATCTTCGACAAGGTATTACAAAATATCAATTCGGTTGACAAGTTAAACTTCAGGGGCATTCTTTCGTAAAATATAAGCATAAGAATAATGTTAGCTTTTGTTCATCACAAAATTTTCAAACTTAGGTTTTAAAAATAAACGATATTAGAAAATTTGACACTTTCACAATGAACTAGTCCTATCGAGAACTTTATATTTGTAAGATTTGAATGCATTAGCCGATTTTGAAAATGAACTGAAATAGGTCAAAATGTCGTAGACTTTATCTACGAATGTGACTCACACCGGACAAATAACGGTAACCAGCCGGCAGTAATTTGATACTTGAATACTCGGCTATCCTCCGGTCGCCATTCACGACATAGGTCAAACTTTTATGACCCAACTCATACTTCGTTGATCTGATCCGAGCACAACCGGACTTTCTAATGGGTATGATAGTATGTCTGCGGTAGTATCAACAAACGCGCAACATGTATAGTCTTAATCGAACCTATTTAAGAAATTAAGATTTATCTCAAAAACGATAATTCAGATTGAACTTCAGAACAACTACATCTTGTAAATTGATTTGTCTATTAGAAAAAAAATTCCAAATTTAGATTTTCTTGAATTACCCATAGATACATTTTCATTTTATAAAATTTGTCGAACTACTTGAATTTCATAGGACATAACGACTCATTGTTTTTTTTATTTTAGATTTGTTGATCAAAGTTCATTTTTACCTTGTCAATGGCCGATACATTATTTACTTAAATGGATTAATTCTTCTTGTCAATGGATATATAAAATTCATCATTCATTACAACAATCAAATACTTCTGTAATAGTATCAAATGATGAAGTACAATGTGAAACAATATCATGTTTATCAACTTTAATTTTTGATCGTTTAGCTCAAGCATCAACACGAATACAAATTGTTTGTTATATTATTTTTGTTTATATCTTAAAGTAACTTTTTCTTGTTTTTATTCAGATTGGATGTTTAGAGGGTATCTGTGCTCTTTTAAATGTTCTAACACCAACAACAATTCGATCATTTTTTCATAATCAATATGATGAACTTCGTTTACTTATACATTTTTTTAAACATCCATTTATATTACATGATCTCGGTAATTTACAATTATTACTCGATATTATTAGTGTAATCTTTGCAAGTAAAGAACAAAGAAAAAAGATGTTTATTATGTTTATTGAATTTCGTTTTCTTTTTGAAGATTTATCAAATAATACAAATGATATGGGTGACATTCAATCAACAGAAAAAGTTTTTCATTTTTTAATCAAGTAAGAACTTTATTTTTCAAAAGAAAACATCTCATGATATCTTAATTGTAAATTTTTTTTATTCGTAGAATTTTATCTATATTTGCATGTGTTGTTGAAGATACAAGTCCACCAATACCACAAGCATCAAAAATAAATTTTCCACCTCTTCCTGCATCACCTCAACAAATAAAAAAACGTTTTGAAAGTAGCACTAATGATTCAAGTAATTCGAAAACTTACTTATTTTACTTACAAGGGACACTAAAAAAAGTTTTTTTTTTTTCGTCAGCTCTTTGAAACAAAATTCAAACACTGGCTCTAGTGTTGCCTTTAAAAGTATCATCCTTCATCAGCAATGCACTCATACATTCGATAAAAATAGGTCATTTTCCGAGACGGTCATTAATATTTGCTTAATGCATGTTTAAAATTGGTTTACTGTCGTTTAGTCAATCGCCTGTCGAAATCTATAATGATCTTGGATATTTTTCGACACGATATTCTAAAGCTATTTCTCTTTTGATCTATAAAAGACTGGCATTGCTAGCTAGTTCCATTCAAGAGTTATAAGATTTTTCCCGAGACTCTCATTTCCGTCAATTGACCTGTGAGTACTCGAAAAAGGAGCTAGACAAGGATAGTTCACCATACTAAATTCATTGATGAGAATCTGACATTATCATTTCAATATTTCTGAAATGTCGACTCCTTTGTTACAACGGGGACTATTTGTGAAATTTTAGGAATATTGAGATAACAGTATCAGATCATTCTGAATCGAAAACAACCAAAGATCATTATTCAACTCAGCATGACGATTTACCTCTGTCGAGGTGCTTTTTCGGATGATTACAAGTGAATTAGCTGAAACCAACGATGTCATGAAAATTCTTGTAGCTCTCGAAAGGAACAAACTAGGGATATGGGTCTTGTGTAGATCGAAAGAGTCATAAGTTCAAAATATCGTGGTCGAAAATCATTACCAAGAACTCGTCTGATTGGTCAATTGTTGTCCCATGAAACTTCGATGACCATAAGACTTCTCTCTTGAATGGTGAAAATCGAAGACCGCCAGCTCTTTTCGTTCTCGCATTATTACAAAAATACCTACGGTCTTTATATTTCTGAACAGATGATAATCTTGCATAGCTGATGTTTCAGTTTTAGATCTGCGAAATGTGCTCAATCACCGTATACATGAACTATTTTGAGTCATTGATGAGCTAATAATGCACACTTAGTGAGCACAAAACTTCTTAGATCTTAAACAAAAAATAGAAATAATTATTGATGAAATTATGCTTCGAATGTCTTCGATGTGTCCAAAGAGAACTATCTTCAATTATTGTTCGGATAGCAGCTGAAGAACAATTTAAACGAGCGAAATTCATAAAGCCTATTGCGAACTATTCAATCTCATCATGCCTGTACTAAACAAGCATACCTTTCTATGTGCATTCAACCAAGTTTGAAATTTTGCGCATAATCCTTCATATATCTATGAATTATAGAAGAATACTTGACTTCAATATGCAAATTTTAGAAACGGCCGAACGAAAAGGAAAAGGAACTTTTGTAATGTCCTATATATGTATTTTAAGAGAAAAACGTATTCAATTCATTTTGTTTTTACTTTGTACAGAAAATGAAAAAGATTTAATTAATACCGATAATACAAATTCAACAACATCAAATAAAGATTCATCACTAACATTAAGTACAACAAATTCGGACAAAGATAAAAAACTTAATCGTACACAATTAGGTGCTTTTGGAAATAATCCATCAATGATGAAATTATTCGACTTAATACGTACATCATATCAAATACATAAAAGTTTATTAAATTCATCTGAAAATGATCGTTTTGGTCAATTACTTTCAACAACATTAATTTGTATGAAATCAGTTTTAAATCTTGTTTCTATACAAGACTTATCAAAACATTTGGAAGAAACACTTAATTATCTTAAATCAACATTCAATGTTGATAAAATAAAGACTATTCAATGTACACAAGAGGTAATTTTTTCAATTTAAATATTTATTTTGAAGAAAATTTCAATAAGATTTTCATTTTATTTTTTTAAATTCTTGATATTAAATGTAATATATCAAAATTTTGAATGCTAATTGAACTCATAAATAGTTGTTGTATTCATTAGCAGTTACATAGTACAGATCTTTGTTATCTGAATGAGTGATATTCATGAGAGACATCGCACAACTGATAAATCGCTTAGCATCAAGACAAGCCTTAACAGGAGTAGCTTATTGTGAAAGTATCAGGCTTTTTTATTTGCTTCTATTCTTAAATAAGAATATCAAATCAGCCGGTTTACATGAGCAACGTAAAAGATACGCTATTACGAAAGTTGTATTTTAGAATAAGAACAGTAAGAAGATCTGAAGCAATTACAAAAAAACCTAATCTCCTAAAGGTCTGTCTCTATGGAAAATTCGAAAATCAGTTTTTCTGTACTACAGCGTTCATTTCTAGAATACTATAAAGGTGTAATGTCGCCACAGCAATCAGCTAAGGGCACAAATTCTCAGCCTATTCATAGCTCATTTGAGTCCATATGATGCACACAATCTCGACCCAAAAGCAATTTATCAGTTGGAGGACTTCCCTCATCAATGAAAATCTATTGTTTAATAATTAGATCTCGAAAAAAGGTCATTATTTTATATTTTAATCACGCAGGGACTGCAGTAACAGCTGTATTTTTTTTTCTCTCATATAAATTACTTGAACGTGTCATTTTCAATCTAGTTTTTACTAAACCTTCATCAACTAGCAAGCAGTTCACCATCGTCTGTTGAAACAAAATCTTCAAGTATTTCTTCACCAATATCATTAAATAATTCTTTAACTAATATTCATACAATAACTATTCGACAACCGATGATTTATTTATTTGGTTCACGTCATGCATCAAGTGTTAATAGTGATCAATCAATAGAAAATAGCGCAATACGAGAGTAAAATTAAAATTTAAACAAAATAAATTCGATCTATTTTCTGTTTTTTTTTTTTTTATTTTCTCTATTATAGTTTTTATCTAATTAAGAAACAACAAAAAACAATTGAATATTTAAAACGTCCACCAAATCGAAATGAACGTACAAAAATAGGCAATTATATACGTTTATTTGAACCAATTGTTATTCTTAGTCTTAAAAAATATGTTAATTCAAACGAAAGTGATTTTCAAGCTACTGTACTCGATTTACTTGTTCAATTACTTTTAATTCGTGTTAATTATAGTTTATTAGATGCTGATGAAGTTCGTAGTGTTTTCTTTGTTCTAATGTTTTCATTTTGATTGTTTTTTATCTATTTTTAATAGCATTTTCTTACTCATATAATTAATCAACTTGAAATGATTGAAGAAACTATAGCTGGTTATGATGTCTCATCACATTTTATTTATCGTATTGCTGAATTTCTTGTTATGTTATCACATGATACACTTCATTCTAAACAAGTTATTAAAGTACAAGATTTAATAAAACATTGTGATTCATTATTAGCAAGTGGACATGAACCTGAAACACATGGTAACAAAAAAAGAACAAGAACTTCGAGAAAAATAATTTTTTTTTTTTTAATGATTAAAATTCTTTGTTTAGCTTTATCAGCATTAGAACCAGTTGTGTATGATTTATTTCTTGTTCGACTTAAAACAGATAATAAAGAATTAGAAGCACAACGAATGGTCATTGTTCAAACATTACTTAAACTTGTTCGATATAATAAAGTAAAAAAATTTTTATTATTAGTATTACAGGGAAATAATTTATAGAAATCAAAAAAAAAAAAAACTAACTATTCATCATTCAAGAGCATTGAACAAAAGTTCCTTCTATATGAGATCTCGGCTATCAATAGGTACTTGAGATCTAATAATATGTGTAATGGATAACATCACTTAATTTTTCTTGGAACTTTATAGTTCTACAAAGAAAAGGTTGTATGAATCAGCCGGTAAGTCTATCCACGCTATTAATTTCATCGAAGCCCATAAACTCTAAATTTGGGAAAATCTTTGCCTATAAATGAACATTATTGTCTCAGAAAATAACTTTCTTCTAAAGGGAAATAGCATGGCAATGATAATTGTGTTCGTGCCGAGGACTCAAAGACATTTCAAGACAGTAATCTTGCCACAAATTACATGATATTTTGAGAGATGAAAGACTCTAGACTAGGCTTCAGTTGCAAATAAAAATATCAAGAATTAGTAGTCATGTATTTGATAAAAGATACTGTAAAATCTACTAGACAAATTTTTCAGGTTAAAAGGCTTGAAGTAAAAATAGGCGCTGTGCATTATTATTCTTTTTCGGAACCAATGGATTCTATCAGTTACAAGTCAAGTTTCTCTAGGATATTTGCAGAATGTTTAGAGATATTTCTGTTTTGAAATAATGAATATTTATATAGAATTTATTTGTTATAGGCTTTGCAATTATTAACAGTTATTGTTGATAGTGTGCGAAGTGAGAGTGATAAATGGAAACGACTTTCACGACAAATCGTCGATGTACTTCTTGTTCATTTACAAACACATGCTGCTAGTGGTTCATCTAAGGTTGTGTTTGTTTTTCAAATAATCTCTAATTTTATGTTCTTTTGTTCAAATAGGGTCAATCGCTTTTGGATATTTATTCAACACAATTAACATTATTTGATGTTGTATCATCAGTTGCATTACGGCCAATTGACCCATTTGTTGTTGCTTTTCGATCATTAGGAAATAGAAATGTTTGTTTTTTTTTTGTTTGTATAAAAAACATAGATTTTCTATCGTTGAATATTTTTAGGATATTAATCGTCAAAGTATAAATCGATGGTTAATGAATATAAATATAATTCTTCGATGTCTTGTACAAAATTCAACTGAAGATGCTATTTTAACAAGATGGAATGATTCTTTATCATCAACTAATGGAACACGTGATGAAAGTTTTAGTGCGTAAGTATTCAAAATGATTTGCTAATAATTTAAAAATCATTATTTTCATTATGTTTTCTTGTTTTCAGAGCTCTTCTTCGTATTTTACATGATATAGTATTACGACTTTTAACTAATGCGCGACAATTACGTGGTCAAATTGATATGACATTAGTTTCGCTTGCATCCGATTATCTTTATTTACTTATGCATATCATGGAAAATGGTAAGAAATTTGAATAATAGTTTATTTGTTGATATGAATATGAGAATTACTCAAAAAAAAACAAAATAGATTTCATAAATCTGAATATAAGTTTAGAATAAATTATTCAGAAAATAAATGAAAAAGATCACAGAAGATGTTAATAGTACGCCAAAAAGCATTATAAATAATTAATATTACTGTAAACGATCATATTTTAACCTATCATAAATAGTCAGTAGTTTTTTTCCTAACTATTTCCTAAAACATGATTATTTTTGAAACATGTTGACATCATCTTGAGTACTTATAATAATTTACAACATTTTTATCATAATCGTATTCAATAGAAGATTTCATACAGGTTTCTCAGTCTTTAAGTCTGCTGTTTTCAACATTTGAAATCAATCTAAATCATAGAAAATCTCCAGTTATAAGATTAAAGATGAAGCCCTGATTTCTAATGCTTTTTCGTGATTTTCCTTCATTTCTAAGCATTCATGATGAACATTTCAAGTTGAAATTCGAAAAAATATTTTTCCCGATGTGTCTGCAAAAAACTACGTCATCGAATTGAAAAAATCCTAAAAAAAAGCATAATCTCGTCAGTAATAAGCTCAAGCTTCACAGAAGATTCACAGCTTATTAACCCTTTCAGGCTCATCGTGCCAAATACGGTACGGTTTTTTCAGGTGTCTTAATTTCTGAATATCTTAGGGACATGAAATGATATCGAGGTGCAGTTTTCTTTATGACGTAGAGGAGACTTCGTTGCATATATCTATNAAGCAACCAGACTGATTACTCACTATCTCATGTTACATGATTTAGATACATTCGACCACATATAAGTGTCGCAGAGTAGTTAAATTAAACACTCATACTCATTAGTAACAGATGGGTAGTGCAGACTATCACCTACTAACAACCAGTAGATGATGATGCACATTGCTTGCTGAGAGCATAATAATAATAGTATTAATAAAGAATTTTTTAGTTTGAATTTACCTTTTGATAGCCGAAGAAAACGGAAAAGGGTTGTTAAAACGTGTTTTTTCGGTAAAAGTGCGAAATTGGGGCGTTTTTAACGATTTTGGTTACGTTTTCTTGAAAATAAACCGTAAAAACGATTTAAAACGGAAAAATTCAATGGTAAACACGTTTAAAGGGGTTTAAACGGTATAAACGCTTGATAGATGCGTTTAAACACAGTTTTGACCGTTCATTGTCTGCCTGGGATACGTTCATCATATCACATACATTAAAGTTTATTAAATTCATCTGAAAATGATCGTTTTTGGACAATTACTTTCAACAACATTAATCTGTATGAAATCAATTTTAAGTATTATTTCTACACAAGATTTGTCAAAACATTTGAAAGAAACATTTAATTATCTTAAATCAACATTCAATATTGATAAAATAAAAACTATTCAATGTACACAAGAGGTAACTTCTTTTAAATAGTAAATATTTATTGTAAAGAAAATATAAATTGTTAATCTTTTTTATTCATCGGTTGAGCTAAAATCTTTAGAATATTCTATTAGATCTGAAACTTGTCTACGGACAAAACTTTAGTTGGAAATCTTATAATTAAGGTTTCTGGAAGGGTCTAACCTAGAGAAGGAAAATTTCAATATAAGAATGTCATAGTAACTGAACAACTGATTTTGCGAATGTCGACGGTCTTAATAAGAATAGTTTATTGTGAAAGTATCAGATCTTTTGATTTCTCCTAGTCTGAAATAAGAACATCGAAATCTGCTGGTGTGTATAGGTAATTTTGCCATAGCTGTGTCTTAGGATAGAAACAACGAAAAGAGCTGAAAATTTCACAATAAACTATTCTCATTGAGGCCTGTCTCTATGCAAAGTTTCAAGTTCAAATTCGAAAGTCAGTTTTCCCAGTGTTCCTGAGGGGAACCACGGCTTTTTTTTTTCTTAAACATACAGTACAAATGCAGTATCTCGACAGTAATAAGCTAGCAGCACGAAATTTTTTCAGAGAATTCATAGATCATTAAGGTCTACATAATTCGCATACGTTCGACTCAAAAGCGATGTGACAGTTGAGAATATTCCCTCGTAAGTCTTCTCGAATGATAAAAATGGACTCGAGGATTTCGACAAACTTTTTATAGATTTGAATTTCTGAACTTCGAAAACATACAGTCTATTGTTTTAAAACTCAGTTATTTTCTTGCAGTAGTCTCTCTAACCGAACAAAAAATCGAAATTAATTCAAGACTATCGTAGTTTTATCATACATTCACTAGATTATCACACTGCTATCAACGTTGCATCCCATGTTCAAGTCATTATTTTTTTTTCCATAGCATAAAATTTTTAGGATGATTCTCATAATAAAGGAAAATTGATTTGAGAAAATAAGAAACAGTATAAATCTGTGTTTTTTTTTGTCTTCCTAGAATTTTGTTTGGTTATGAATGCCTCATTGTCTTATCCTTGGTATTAATATTCCATCATTATGACGTGCACCAACAGGTGCATTAATTAAAAAAATAAATGATCTCTGGTCTTCATTACCAACACAACGATTAATATCAAATGAAATAAATTTAAATGATGTTGAAACAACACTTGATACAATTTATATAAAAAGTTTTTTTATCATGTTCTAATAATCAACCATATTTAATTGCATTAATAGATTCTATATCAATTTATTTTGATACAATGCAAAATCATGTTGAATTAATATGTCAATTTTCAACAGGTGATATACGTGATTTATTACGTTTTATAAAATTTATATCAGAAATAATTTATATAAATATATTTCAAAAAAAAATCATTTCTTAGTTGGAATTTAATTGAAAGTTTTTTTCGTTGTTTAACTAAAACAATACATAAATCCAATATCAATTATATATCAATTACTTAGTGAAACAGATCAAATAATATCATGTTCTACATTATAAAAAATTATATTATCAATTATTACAATCATATTTAAATTTAATTGAATCAGATAATCGACCTTTTACACAATTATTACTTTTAACATTTAATGATTTTGATCGTCTTTATTATTTAATTTAAAAAAAAAGTAAATATATACCCTATTTTTATCGATAGGATTTACGTTGTATAGTTATATTATTATTTCATTTACCAATATTTAATTCATTTATACGTATACCAAGACAATATTGAGAGCAACATTATCAAGATACAAATAAATTACAATTTGGTTTAAATGATTATTGTTTATCATCATTTCCTGTTGATTTATTACAACATTCAGATATAATGGCTGATTATATTGAACGTATATCATTTGTTGGTTGGTTATCAAGAATACTATTTCAAGAAATATGAGTTTCATTTTTAGTTTCAATTAATCCATCAAATCAATCTAATAATGAAAATCAAAAAACAACAAATAATTTAATAAAAGAAGAAATTTTAGAAACAAATGCAAAACAATGGTAACACGATAAAAAAAAAACTAGATTTTATCTGTTTTTTTTTTCTTTGCATAGTGTATGGATTCATAGTGTAACAACATTTTTATTAAATGCATTTCGATTGAATTGTACAGAAAATCGAGTTGATATGACATTTGAACATCGATGTCGAAATAAATCTATTCCATTTTTATTAACAGATATCGTTGGTCAATAATATATGCAAACACGTTCAACATTAGATACAAGTTCAAATAATTTATTTAAAAATATTGAACGATTAGGTACACATGATTTATTATCCTATGGACAACTTTCATATGATACTATATTAACATCAATTGAAAGTAATAATACATTACCATTGCTAGTTAATGTAAGTTCATATATGTTTTAAGAATTGACAAGTAGAACTTGTATTTTTGTTAATATTGAATATTCAACATAAGTGTAAAAAAAAAGAAGTTATCAAAAGAATTTTAAATTTTATTATACAGATGTCTAGGTTAAGAGAAAGACAAATTCATTGCTAAATTATTAATTTTATCGAACAAAAAAATCTATTGTCTCTCTGACTTTGATCATATTTGAAATATAATATATGCAAGCTATCCTATTTCATATAGTTAAAAGATAATGTCAATAATTTCAAGTACCTTCTAATTACTTCTTGTATTCTATTAATAAAGTTTAAAATATGAGCAAAAAATTTTCTATCAATCAGAAAGTTAGAATATGAAGGTTTCCTAGTCGCTGGCATTCACCTTTAATTTAACAAAAAAATAATTTAGAGTTTATTTGATCGTTGATTTTCTCGTGATGGTCTTCATTTAACATCATTATTATAAATTCTAATTGAACTATATATTCGCTGGTTAACAACAAATTCAACTAATATGTCTTCAATTAAAATATGAATTAATACGTTCATTTATTTATCTTTCTGATTTGTTTACATCATCGTAACAATTATCTAATTTCTACGATTTATGTCATGAGTACTTTCGTATATGGCTTGATGAAGACTATGTAATGATATTATTAATAAGTTATCGTTTATGTAAATCTGATATATTACTTGGATAAGCAACAAAAGAATAGTATGAATTATATATACATTTAATTGAACGTAATTTTAAATTAATAACTAAAACTCACGCATATACCTCATATTTATTTTTACTTGAAAGCCATGAAGATGATTTAAATAAATTATTCATATCAATTATAATACAAGAACTAAATAATGTTATATTAAATAATGCGTTAAAATATAATTTAGATATACACTTAAATGATTCTATTTAATTTAATTAAATAATTATTTAAATATATAAGATATTTTATTATCATTAATTAAAGATAATATATTAGATATAAATGTTAATTTAATACAAAAAATTATATCAATTAATCTTGAAAGACTTTTACTACTTAGTCAATATCCTAAAAATGATATATGACATTTATATAGACGTTAAAATAACAATAATACGTCAATTGATCATCTTGTTTTAATACTTGCACGTGTTTATACCTTATTACAATGACCAAATGAAAATATGAATTCATTAAAGAATGAAAATGTTAATGAAGAACAAGAAATGATTGATTGTTCATCAATAATATCATCATCAAATAATATTCTTGTTGAACTTGTTGGAGAATTATAGCAACATAATAAACAATCATCNAGCGGATGTTGTTTTTCCCGTGTTCCGTTTTTTGTGAAAAAACCTGCAGAAAATACTAATTTTTGACGTTTTTTGGGCTGAAATATCTCTATGAAGCCCAAACAGAATTTTAACTTTTATTAGTGCTCTAGAATCGATTAACTGTCCTCTATCTAATGCTGAAACTCCCAGGTCTGTAGCTTGTTCCTGAGCCAAATGGCAAAGACATCTTTGGAGCCTACTCTCGAATTTTTCCCAATTTTTCACCCACCCTCGGATAAAAATATGGGATTAACAAAATCTGTCCTTTAGTGAAACTTCATTAGCACACCTAGCTCTATCATTCCTAGTGATTTCATCAAATTAGGTTGGATAGAAAAAATTCAGGACTCAAAGGGTTAAAAGAAAAAAAATTATATTTTGTTTTAGAGTTTATTCGATCGTTTATTTTCTCGTCATGGTCTTGATTTAACATCATCATTACAAATTCTAATTGAACTTTATGTTCGTTGGTTAACAACAAATTCAAATAATTTATGTCTTCAATTAAAATATGAATTAATGCGTTCATTTATATATCTTTCGGATTTATTTACATCATCTCAACAATTATCAAATTTATATGATTTATGTGATGATTATTTTCGTACATGGTTTGATGAAGATGATTTAATGATATCATTAATAAGTTATGGTTTATGTAAATCTGGTGTACTTCTTGGACAAACAACTAAAGAATATAATGAATTATATATACGTTTAATTGAACGTAATTTTAAATTAATAACAAAAACTCATGCATATGCATCATGTTTATTTTTACTTGAAAGTCATGAAGATGATTTAAATAAATTTTTAATACCAATATTAATACAAGAATTAAATAATGATATACAAAATAATTCATTAAAATTAAATTTAGATATACGTTTAAATGGTTTTATTTTATCAAATTTATTTTATTTAATTGAAAATAATTATTTAAATTCATATGATATGTTATTATTATTATTTAAAGATGATATATTAGATATAAATGATAATTTAACACAAAAAATAATATCAATTGGTCTTGAAAGACTTTTAATATTAAGTCAATATCCAAAAAATGATATATGGCGTTTATATAAACGTTCAATAACAATAATACGTCAATCATCATGGTTAAATATTGATCATCTTGTTTTAATACTTGCACGTATTTATATATTATTACAACGAACAAATGAAAATACAAATTTATTAAATAATGAACATGCAAATGAAGAACAAGAAATGATTGATAGTTCATCAATAATATCATCATCAGATAATATTCTTATTGAACTTGTTGGAGAATTATATGAGCGTACAAAACAATCATCAACATTACCATATGAAGCTTTACTTTTATTACGTCCATTACCATTATTACTTGCACATATTGGTTTATCGGATCGTTTAATGAATAAAATGGTTTTAGAATTTGCTGCATCAACACAACAATTATATCCTCAAATACTTGCCTATACAGTTTTTGCTGTTTTTCGTGCTTTAATTAATGCACATTATTCAGCTAAAGTTAATGAATGGACTTTATTATCAATGACAAGTATTGCACAAAGAAAACCAATACGTATGGCTATATGGGGATTAACTTGTCTTATGTTAAGTGCATGTCCATCACATACAATTGCTGATGCATTGTAAGTGTTTACATAGATCATTATGTTATTGATAAAGATTTAAATTTATTATATCTTCCTTAAGGCCACCCCCCCCCCCTCAAAAATGTCGAGTTTCGTCAAAAAAACGAAATTTGAGATAAATGCATAGCTGAATAGTATGTTACCTGAATAGTAAGAATCCATAGGATTTTCGGGTTTAGTTCTCTAAAAAACTGGGTTTTTCGCAAAAAAGTGTATTTTCGGCACCATACATAGATTTTTTCAAAAATTGTTTTATGTTTTTCTCAAAATGGTGGTCAAATGACGCATCCCCACCAAAAGTCAATTATAATCCGATATAAAGTCAAATATTTTTTTTTTGTTTGAAAGAGCATCAAAAGCTGCAGCGCCTATGAGGGCCCTTTTTTTGATAAAATTTTCTTATTATTGTATTGAAAAGCGATTCTATAATATAAGCATCATTTGTTTGAGTGATTGAATTTGTGAAGCTTTTTTTTCTTATTAAAGATAAGAATTTAAAAAAAAGGGCCCTCATAGGCGCTGCATCCTGACATGCTCTTTCATATGAAAAAACAATGAACAATATTGAATGAACACCCATAGAGATTTTTTGGGGATGCGATAAGCTATTTTTCGACCCTTTTTTGCTTCGTATCTACCTTATACATCAGGATAGGAGGCTGAAAATTTTATCATAGACGTACTTTTACACCCACAACATATCCCCAAAGTTTGATGCTATCTCGATGTTCCGGAGCTGAGATCGACTTTTGAGGGGGGGGGGGGGCCTTAATAATTATATTTCTCACCTCGCTTTATTAATCTTTAAGGAGAAACAAAAAAAAAATCTTGAATTGAAACTTCATATTGATTATTTTATAGTAAATTAATGATCATGAGTAAGATAGAGTGAGGTTTTATGTGGGTTATTACATGAGTTCTTTTCTACGTATGGCGAAATATTTTTCTTAGTTTTCTTTTTAAAAAAGATAAATAATTAATTTATACATTTAACAAAAGACAAAAAATATTGAATGCAACCAGAAGAGAGATAGCGATGAGATTAAATATAGACCTTATTGTAGAGATGTTCGCCGCTTGTCTATAACCCATTGTGATGGTGACCGGCTCTATCGCTATTTTGAGACTACTGCTGATCTAGCTCGGTTTTTAGGCGCCATGCATGTCTCTGACTGATTGAATTTTATGTAAAGCACTAATGTTAAATTTGTAATACGCTTGAAAAATTACACCTAATAATACGTACAGATTTGTATAGTTCCAAAAAACATTTTTCAAAAGATTGATCAGCGAAGTGTTGTGTGGCAAGGGCAAACCCATATACTTATGAATCAATGTTTAATAGTTTCATGCCATTCGGTAGTTTTTTCATATTCGAGCGTTGTATATTCACTTATTATATTTAACGATGCATGATAGCTATACTCATCTCTGTCAAAAGTCAGTACAGAAGCTTAAAAAATTTATGTTATGTCCATAAATCAATAAACTATAGTGCATTCGAGGGTCGACACTTTGCTTTATCGAACGAGCTAAAAATCGATAAATTTCATCAAAATTGACTCTTTCAGAGGAAGGTTCTTGAGAAAATGTCTAAAAAAAAATAGATACATGCCAAACTTTTTATTACCATATGGAATTTCTCAATGAATTCTTATCGATAATACAATATATATTTTTTGTTTTTTAGGTTTCCATTGACGTTATCACGTTTCAGTGCTCGTTTTGAAGAATTAGACAATCGTTTATTTCTTCTTGCTGGTCGAGAATATTATCTACAGGTATGGAAAAAAATCTACAAATATTATTTATGACAAAAAAAAAAAAACAATCTATTTTAATTATTTTAGTTAACGAATGTTGAACAACGACGTCAATTTGAACAAGCATTCACAAATGAATCGAATACAGAAAAATTATACGCTGATTTACTTGCACATATTCAAGATACGATCTTATCATCATCTTGATCCTTCCTAATTTTGTCCGTTCTTATTCGGATCCGGTGATTTCTACATTTATAAAATAATCAATATTTATCAGACGTCAAATCAGTTTTTTTTTTCTCGTTCTGGTCTGTCAATAGAACTTTTCCTGCTAAATGTCTTTGCATGTACGTGTGTGTGTGTGTGTGTACCTTTTTTTTTCTTCGATTAGTAGATCAACAGTGATTGCAGATGATGTATGCTTACACATTATTTCCTTTTCTCCTTTATTGTTGTTGCTGTTATTATTATTATTGATGTTTATTATCTGTTATGTAACGCAAGCAAATCATTCCGTCGATTAAAAGAAAGTCTTAATTTAAATTTATCTTGACAATCAAGAAACAATGAAAAAATGAAATTTAATTCTTGATATATATCGTGGAATATATACATATATATTAAAGATATTATTTTTCTTTATGAGATTTGTTGAGAAATTTTATCTGTTTTGAATAAATAATCTATAAGACAATTCTATTGAACGTTGAGTATATAAAATATAGTTCGAATATCTCTGCAATAGTACTCATATGAGAATTGTTGAAGAGTATGATTCAGCGAAGAAATCAATTTTGTTAAAAATTCTGATATTATTTAAAAAAATTCTCATACTTATAGACAGTTGAACATACGTGACAACAACAAAAATTTTCTTCCTCACGGTTAATAAGTTTTCACAAGATATTGTTTTCCAAAACTTTTTCAAGCTTGATAAGAAGTGCAAATCAACTAAATAAACCATTGTTTTCTGAAATGAAGAATAGCTGTAAGTACAGATAAAAGGTCGGCCTGACGCAGAGTTCTTCCGCTCAATTGCATGAGCTCCACATACGCACTAATAACTAGAATAGCAGGTGTATGTTACAACATAATCAGTATACTATTAGACGAGTGATTCGAAACAAATAGGCTTTCGAAACTTGTCAGTTGTCATTTCGTGGCTCGTGATAGGAAATTTTGCACATAGTACATTGTCAATACTTGTCGAATAACTTAGTTACTCAGCCATGATGACTAATTGTTTCCTGAACCATTGTATGTTCTTTCAATTTAGCAAAAATTAAAGTTAATCTGATGTTTGCATTGTTAAATAAATAAATGCGAATAGTTATATGTTACATCAAATCTAGAAAGATCTACATTGCTCATAAAATTTGTTTTTATTCCACATGATTCTTTTAAAAAACTAATTTCAAAACTTTTACTTTTAATTAAATTAAACAATTCTTTATTAATAATGAAATAATAAAATACATACTAAATACTGGATATAAGTATCCTGTTTTAATCAACCCAAGATTTGTATTATCGTTAAATCCAATTAAACTTTTAATAGCAAGTTCATTCTCCGGACTATTACATTCATTTATATTACATACAAAATAAAGGTAATCAAAATCATATTTCATTGGACCAGGTGTATATCGGTATCGTCCAAAATAAATCTTCGGTGTATCAGACATTAAACATTGACGAGTACTAATTAATGTAAAATTTTCCGGATCAAGAAATTGAGAAAAATCACATATACCACTTGAGCATTCAGTTAGTTCATCCGAGGAATAACAATGAGAAGCCATTGTTTCAGGATTTTCATTATAAATTAATCGTGATAATGAATCATAAAGTGGTAGATAATTAGTTACAATTAGACGAGGAATATTTTCTATTATATAATTCCATTCACATTTATTACCATTTGAACATTGGTATTGAATAATATAATATAATGCTCTATCATCAAATTCAAAACCTAATATTTCTGCAGAAACGGTGTCTAGACGAATATTGTCAATAGTTAGATTAAGTGTTTCGTTCAAAAATACAAAATATGTAGAATTCAAACTAAAATCCATTCTAATATAAACTTCACATGCATTTGATGTTACCTGTTCACGACAATTTGAAGGTTCGAGTAATGGTTCATCAAATGGTATTATAAATTGACAATCAAATATACATAGATGTTCTTGTTTTTGTCGATTATTTGATGTTAATAGTGAAGATTTATCAATTATATTTAAACGAATAAATGGATTACTGTTATTTCTTGTCAACATATTTGGATAACTAAAACTCTCTATCCAAGTAATTAAATGCAGAATAAAGATGATAGAAATAAATCTTTGTTGCATAGCTATTCAATCTATTGAAGGATAAAATGACCGAATACTTTGTTCGATACTAACAATAGCTATGTACTTGAATAAAAACCTTGAAGATATAATAATTAAAAGAATGAAAATGACAAGTAATAATACTAAAAGATATTATCGTACTTCTGTCAAGTATTGTCAATAAAATAAAATAATAAAAGATTTTAATCTAATGCTTCAAGCTATACAGAAGAATGAAAAGCAAATTTATATAGAAGGGTGAGTGTGGGTATGGGTATGCATGTCGAAGTTCTTTCGAATAATACCTATACCCATACCCATAACCTTGATTGCACTGAAGTTTTTGATTATACACATCTTTTTGAATTCAATTGCTTTTTTTAATGTAAACTTAAGAGAAAATTGAAACAAATCAAGTGTTTACTGTTGGCTTTTTTAATGAAAATAAAATCAGTTTAATCAAATAAAATCTAAGTTTAGTTCTTTGGCCCTTTATCGAAAACCTATTGGTTCGCTTCTTCTCTATGATAAAAAAATTTCGACATTCAACTTGAATACACTGGTATGTGAGTATACTTTATTTTCAACTTATTCAAGACGTATTTCATGAAATGGATGTGGGTGAGTGAAACAAAAACTCAAACTAGCACTCACACACTCATCAACACTCGCATCCGATATGAATATAATTCGATATGTTATACGTTTCAAATAGTGGTGTTTTATTCGTTATTTGCACCATCATGGTAGTATATATCTTTCTGCACTAGGTGAGATCAAAGGTAAATCTTGACCATTCTTATCTACTTTTGCATGTGGACCATAATGCTATTGTCTATTGTTGCCTGTGCAAGATAAAAGTTGTATTTGTGATCGTTATCTTCAACATTTTCCTCATCAACGGCAAAAGTATTGTCTCAGTTGTCACGACATTTGGGTATGTTTCGAAATTATTAATGAAAATACTGTCGAAAAGTTAACAGTTTTTGAGAAAAATTTGTTTTGAATTCAAAAAACTATTCTAATGTGAAGTCTATCAGATGTGGTTATTATCTACTTCGTCAACAAAGTACCACCATTTCACATGCGACATTCACATAATGAAAGAATGTGATCTGAAATTGAACATGAGAAGGAAATTTATGTATAAATACGATATTCAGCATGATGTTAGTAGTACTGTGGAATATCATGTTACAATATATAATTGATCTTCCATTGTAGATCCAAATAATTTCAAGTACTCATCAAGTAAATCGGTACTACTTAGTTGCCTAAGTAAAGACGATCATATGTCTATATCAGGTATAATTACTTGTAATCAATTAGCTTGCCCATTACCTGACGATGACAAAGTCTTTAACAAATGTTTGTTAAATATTATTGTGAAATGTTATCGACTGAATGAAAACGAACTAAAACTTACAGAGAAAACTCTTTTATTCAAAGAGGACAGACCTATAGTAACGATTACATGTACAGTGGAAAAATCGAAATCAAAAATGAATAGTTCGCAACGTATTCAACCAATTCTGTATACATGTGATTATGTTATCGAGAATTTATCACCAGGTATTTATTCAGTCTTTGCATATGAAGATTGTGAAGAAGCTGATGGATCCTTTGTTTATCCTCAGAAACAAGCATTTGGATGGAGTGCCAGTGAGATAGGCAGTAAATGGACTGAACATACTATCTACAACTCAAATACAACTATTACAAATGCGAATATTATACTACGCAAACCTCATTCATTCTTCTCTGTTGGCTATCCGATCAAGACGGACATTGCGAGATTTTATATAATCGATCGAATTCCTGTATTACAATTGAATGCAACGACACCTGCTGATCGTGGTTATTCACATGGATATTTACTAGCTCCTCATATACTTGATTGGTTTTATTTCTATTTATTAGAAGAAAATTTTCAATCAATAACTAAATATCAAGAATTCTATACATTGGTGGATCCAGCTTCAAATTTTTTTCATTATCCTGTCGACTATTTGCTCGAAATCGAAGGAATTCTGAGCGGAATGCAAGCACGAACAGATTGTGATTTATTTCTCTATGAATTAGATCGATCTTTTAATCAAATTGATTTACTTGCAATGAATTCATATATTGAACGTCGAACGACAAAACCAGATCTTCGTACAAATGATATGGTAGAAACTTCAACGGTAGCAATCGATGGTATTTCTAATCATCCACATTGTAGTCAAGTTGTTGTGTGGAATAGTTTAACAGCTGATAAGAGAGTAATTGCAGGTCGTAATATGGATGGTGAATGTGATATACGTCGTGTCACTGTATCAACTACTGTATTGTTTGCAGTGAATAGTTCAGATAAATCTAAACAATATCGTTATATTAGTTTAATGTGGCCTGGTATGATTGGGACGCTATCAGGAGTAAATGAAACCGGTTTATATTGTATGGAAAATGCTGGACACTCTCAAATTGGTGGTCAAATTAAAGGTTTAACGCCAGTTTCATATGTTGCTGCTCATGTATTACGAACATTAAATGCTCGTTTAGCTACTATAACCGAAGTGAAAAATGCTTTTGAAACATTTGCATCTGATTTTATACTTAACAATGATTCAAAAGTATGGCCTACTAAGAGAGCTTTGAGTGAATTGAAAGGTCCAATTTGTGGTCCTGGAAGTGTGTTCGTATTGACTACGATGTCGAATGATGGAGGAAATGCATTTGTACTAGAAGGTGATCGATATGGCGGACGTATCAGAACATCGATGCAAGCATTACCTTTCATTCCTGATTGCATAATAGCAACTAATCATTTTCATTGTTATGATTCTACTTCCTCATTACATGATAGATATCGTAATTTTGACTCATGTGTGAGCTTTAGTTCACTACATCGATATGAAAGTATGCGTCATCGATTGGAAATGGAATTTCGCTCAAAATCGAATGTTGTTCATTTAAATCGTGAGAGTATCCGTTTATTGCTACAATCAGCATGTGAAGGTCGAACTGAACATGCAATCGAAGTAGAACTTGAAACCAATGGCAATATTACACTTCATATTCATTTAGCAGCGTCCGAGTTTGGATTTTGGTATGCACCCTATGAGCATGCACGTACAATTAAATTCGAAGAATTATTCATATGATTACTAATCGCATAATCTTACTCTTCTTAAATGTTATATGCATGAGTGTGGGTGTGGTTGGGTGAGTTTTTGTGTGGTTGTAGAGAATAATTTCCCCAACACCCACATCCATACCCTTCGTCAGTCTCGTATTTTAAATGAAACTTCAATCGCTATGATTACATATAAATACAATTGATTTAAGTTACTTTCTGGTTGATAGAAGTTGTTTAGCGTTGTTAGAGGGCCTACAGTGATATCTAAGTATATGCCTGTTTCTCATTGATTAGACGAAAACCATGTCATTGTTAAGTGTATTCAAAAAGAGTTTAAGAGTTTACTGTATGTGATTGATTACTTATGCATTGTTGGTAGTTCCGTAGACTTAAAATTTCTTTATATTATCGTCAGTAAAATCATAAATGTAATTAAAAACAATTCAATAAAATTATGTTTACTGCTCGATGACAATTCATGATTTCTGATGATATGATCATACAGCAGATTTTGATTTCTTAGTTAATATGGCTTCAGAGTTGCTTTTAAACTAGATAAATGAGAAACTTATTTTTTTTTCAAGCACAACATAGGATAATAGTTGNTTTGATCTAAAACTTTTTAGCACTGTTAATGCATTAATGTCAAAGTGTAAATTTATTCTGTACAGTGTACGGTGTACACTTCGGTTTTTCAATCAAAGTGTGCAACAGAGTGTACATGAACAACAGCAGATGTTCTGTACATTTTGTTTCTGCTTGGTACACCTGCTATTGCAAACCCTGATTTCAATTGAATAAATGAAATATTTAAACATTTCAAATCGAATTATTTCTCTGTTATTTTTTATTCTCTTGGATTTTCTATGATTATATAGTAAATACATACAATATTGTCTTACAGTTGGTATTCAATTAGTTCTATGATAATGACGTACGTACATCAACAAGTGCTGCATTTATTAAAACAAATAAATGATTTATGTTTATCTTTATCGATACAATGATTTATATTAATATTAAATGAAATGAAATGAATTAAAATAATGATGACAAATTAACACCATATAAAATTTACATAAAAAAAGTTTCTAATCATATTTAAATCCTCAATCATGTTTTATATCAATAACAGATTTAATATTTATTTTTATTCAATAAAAATTAACATATCAATTATTCATCTTGTTATATACGTTATTTATTATCTTTTTTTTATTATTTATATCAAAAATCATTTATCTATTGATATTGTTAAAAAAAAAGAAAAGAAAAGAATTATTTCTTAATTGGAATTAAATTGAAACGGTTTTTTTTTCGTTAATTATGTTGAATATTATCAAAAAAAATTGTATTATCAATATTTGAACAGATGATAATCAACCATTTATATAATTTAAAAAAAATAAAATATGTAACATATTTTTATCGATATGATTTATGTAAAATAGGCATGTATATATATATATATATATATTATGATTTCGTTTATAATAATATTTAATTAATTTTATACATATACTAAGATTAATATTGTGAATGTCAACAAATATTATCAAAATCGTTTTTTGTTAGATAAAAATAAATATGATTATATTGAATATATATATTATTTATTAGTTAGTTAATCAATATCAGAATTTCAACTAATTATCGATATCATTTTTAATTTCAATTAATTTATTAAATCAATTTCATAATGAAAACGAATAAACAAACAATAAATTATTTAATAAAATAAACAATTTTAGAAACCAATTCAACAAAATGATAACATTATAAAAACAAACTAAAATAGATTTTATTTTTTTTTATGTTTTACTTTGCACAGTCTATATAGATTCATAATTTAATAAGATTTTTTTTATTAAAAGTAGTTCGATTGATATTTGAATATCGATGTTGTGATAAATCTATTAATGGATATTGGTGGTCAATATATATATGTAAACGTCTACAATAGAGTAGATAAAAAACGTTAAAATAATCTATTTTAATACGTATATTGAACAAATAGATTCATATCATTTTTTTATTCAATAGACAAATATTAATATGAAAATATATTTTCTATTAATCAGAATATTAAATTGAGAATGTTTCCTTCACTCTGATTCACTTTTAATTTGAAAATAAATTGAAGTTTATGTTTCGTGTTATTGTCTTAATTTAACATTTTGATTATAAATTCTAATTTGAATTATATATTCGCTATTTAACAATAAATTGAAATAATTAATGTCATATTAATTAATACATTTATTTATTTATTTCATTTAGAACAATTATCAAATATAAATATTTTATATATTTGAATTATTTCTTATTGGGTTTTTTCATGAAGATAATTTAATCATATATCAGTAATTGATTATTGTTTTTTTTTTGTAAAGAAAAAAAAAAAACAAAATAATATAATATGAATTCTATATTAACAATTAATTGAATATTATTTTAAATTAATAATTAAAATTTATACGTATTTATTATATTGATTTTGACTTGAAAGTGATAAAGTTAATTTTAAATAAATCATATAATATAAGAATTTAAAAAATAATTATATATTAAATAATATATTAACATATAATTTCGATATATGTTTTATTTTATTTTATTTAATTGAAAATAATTATTTAAATTCATATTATATATTATTATCATTAATTAAAGATAATATATATATTATATATAAATCAGAATTTAATAGAAAAAAAAAATATAAAATTAGTCTTGAAAGACTTTTAATAGATGTGTTCAATATTCTAACAAATAATAATTATATTAAATCTATATAAATGTTTAATAACAATAATATATATCAATTGTCATTAATATGTTTATTATCTTATTTTAATATTTGAACATTTATATATAAATTCATTAAATATTGAATTATAAAAAATAATTAATATTTTCATCAATAAAATCACTATCAGATAATATTCTTATAAAACTTATTGAAGAAGTATATCGAACTATTAAACAATTATGAATATTTCTATATGAATATTTACTTTTATAATGTTTATCATGATGTAATTACTTGTACACATATTAGTTTATCAGATCGTTTAATCAATAAATATTCCTTTTAAACATTGCTACATTAAGACAAAAATTATATTTTGAAATATTTCCATAAAGAGTTTTAGCTGTTTTTCATATTTTAATTAGTATAAATTATAGATAATCAATAAATATGTCTCTGATGAGGATTAACTTGTTCCATCACATAAAATTAGTTATGTATTATAAGGATTTTACTTAAATTATTTATCTTTATCGATATTGAAATTTCATAGTGATAATTTAATAGCAAATTCATATTCTATCAGTTATTAGAAATTTATTCTTATGAGTAAAATCGAGTGAAGAGTTGAATGTGAGTTACTGGATTCTCACTTACGGTGAAATATTCTTATTTCTAGTTTTCGTTTTTTTGAAAAATAATTAAGACTTACACGTAGAATATTCAACTTTATATTAAAAAAAGATAAGTAGAGAATCAACAATGAAAAGAAAATATTTTCCATATTCGAATATTATCAATTCACTTATTATAACACAATTCGATACCATGTCCATCACTGTAGCTATTCTAGATAAAAACCTATATACATAATATCCTTTAAAATCTCATCATAAAATCAATAAATAACACTGTAGTTTAAAGGAACTCCTGAAAAATTCTTGATTTTTGAAAATTGAATATGGTAAGCTTTATCATTTAGTACTACCATGAATATGCGAATGACTATCAAAGCTAAGATGAAAATCAAGATTGAAATTATCAACAAGCAATAGATGTATCCGAGTGAAATCAAAAATGATATAATGTCCATCGAAGTTTTTGCTCGAATATTATTAGAGAATCAATATCAATGATAAAGCTGATTCCATGATTCCATTCAGTCAAATTGATTCAATTGATTCCAGAATATCTGTATGTGTCACTTTTTCTCTCAATTATTTTCTTCGAATCACTGGCGCAGGTGAGTTGTTCAGGAAATTCAGATCATGTTGAACAATAGGAATGAAAATGATTTTAGATATTGACCATTATAGTGTATTAAACATAAAAGATGTATGTTCTTTAATGTATATTGTATTGAGAAAAATCATATTGTTTCACTATTCATAGTAATAAATCGTCCAATGAGAGAATTTCTAACCGACTCATGAGACTTATTTCTCACTGCTCAATTAAAAACGTCCACAGTCATTTACTTTAATTGTTTATGAGTGTGAGTCCCGATATTTAAACAGCATGATGACGGAAGAATATTGAAATTTTTTTTCCAAAACTATCTTAATTTCCCTTTCCTTTATTGTAAACTTACAAAGCATAAGGATCTGAATAAATACCAAAGAATGTTACGTTTCAATGTAAAATTGCAAAGGGCGAAGTTTTCTTCGTCACAAATTAACTAAAGTAAATACATTGAAATGTGTATTCACAAAAATTTTTCAAAGTACTTTAATCGATGGTATTTGAATTTTTTTAAAATAACTATGAAAGTGACTTTTAAACTAACAATGGAGGTGTTTGTACTGTCCCTCACGAAAACGGCTCATTTTGGTATCAAATGAAAGCTCTCATCGCCAAACTAACAGGATTAAAATATTAGCGGCCCTTGGTTTGTCTAGAGGGAGATATTCGAATTTTATGATACTCAGGATTTTAGTATATAGAAAACATGAGCATTATGTACATTAATTTTCTATTCAATTAACTGAGAATTTCTACAGTAGACTACAAGAATCTTTCTAAAATTTGTCAATAACATTAAGATCACATTAGTTTCGATGTATTCTGGAACCGAGATAGTATTGCAATGAAAGATTAGATATATGATGCTTTTGAAAAATGACTTGTATATAAAATTTGAAATTAAAGTGCATTGACGCATCACTTGGTGGTCTATGTTATGCCATATTCATTTGTCGTATATTCGTCAATCATGTAATCAACTCCCAGTTTTTGCATCCAATTCAGAAAAATATTGGAATCAAATCGTCTTA